AAGAGAAAATATTTCCGATGTACTGAGAGATTGTCGCCTATTGTGAGAATCATTTACTTTCGATGCTCTTAGAGATTCTCGCCCATTTTGACAATTATTTACTTCATTAGAAACCTGATATTAAACTCTCAATTTCGGAGGTCTTATTTTTTTTCAAAAGATATATTTTTACTACCATCTTGACATTGTACTCATAATAACAAAGGAAAAAGTTTATATAAGGGTGAGGCTTAAACAATCAAATTAAGGCGCACCTCAAAATTTCATCAGAGGAGAATGTTTCAGTACCCAAAAATCATTAAATTAATCGTCTCGACCTCAAGATATATAAATATGAGAAAAAATAGACTTCAAGTTTTGAAAATAGTACATATTGTAATGCATTTTTTAGACCATCAATTTTCAAAATTTTAAGTGTTTAAAGATATGTTTGATCTACACTACTTTTAAAGATTTTCAAACCATCACAAAGATTTCCAGTATTTAAATATCATTTTTTGATACCATTTGAAGGTATACCTTACGTTGATTGGTTAGGGCCTCCGCCTCATACAAGTCACACCTAATAATGAAACCAAATGCTCTATAACCTATGAGTGCAAAATGTTACCTTTAGTTTTCATACCAAATACTAAAATTTGAAGCAGAATTTCTTAGTGTTCAACAACCTGGCTGGGTGGAACTGAAAACGGCCAGGTTAGTCGGAATGGGCCACTTGTAGTGGCCGTTTTTTGGTCGGTTAGGGTAATCAGCTGGCTTGACTATCCTAACTTATAAAAAGAAAATTTAAAAGTGGCCCATTCCGACTAACCTGGCCGTTTTCAGTTCCACCCTTGGTAAGAATTGAGCCTATGATATAACATTGCAAATCGTGAAGCGCTAACCAATTAAGCTCGAGTGAAGACTGATGGAAAATTATACATGAGACAACTAAACTATAGGAATACCCTAGCGTTTAGCAGTATATTATAGGCTCAATACTTAATCTATATCCTGCAGAATGCTCCTGATTTTTCTTTAAATAAATATACAAAGTGGGGGTTGTCTTTCTTAAGAATAGCAAGGCATAATTTGGGTAGTGTGAAAAAAAAAAAACATTTGAACATGTGGTCACAACACAAATGCTAGAGTTTGAATCCTAGCCTCCTGCACTAATAATAATAATAATAATAATAATAATAATAATAATAATACTAATAATAACAATTAAAGATAAGGAACACCTACTACAAGAACATTTATCTTTGATGCAAAAAACTAATAATCACCCATATCCATTAGATGTGAAATCTAAATGCGCGTGTGTCATAAGGTTAAAAAATTTTCTGTTGAATATTAAGCCTAACGAATAAGATAAATGTGGTTACCCAATTTCACATCTAATAGATAAGGTTGATCATGACCTGATCGGCAAAGATAAATAGTTGCATTCTATGTTTTTTTATAAAAATAACCATATTCTAAAAGAAACCAATAGAGTCACATCACCTTACATAGATTGACAAAACAATAATGCAAAAAAAGTTTCAAGTCCTACACCTTTGGATAAGAATAACTTATCCACAATAAAAAAAATAAAAAATTTGACCATCTCCTCTGCCAAAGGAGAAGGAACACTACATATGCACAGGAGAAGCTAATAATCGAAACCAATTATCATGCAAGATGAAAGGTGCACCATCTGACAATAGATTCATCAACAATCAAGCTAGAAAAGACCTGAACCCCACACCTTTGGATAAGATTCCTTGAATATCCGACACTTGTCAAAAACGACATAGAATATCAGATACTCCTCTCATGGTTTGCCGGCATAAGGCCCCTATCTCACTGCACCATGGTCCAAGGTTTGAGCCCCAATTCCCAAATTATCCACCCAATAAAAAAATGACATCAAATTATTGGAGTTTCAAATGCGTTGGGTAGGCTAGCAAGGGGCAGGGCCAACTCTAACCCTAGCTAGCCTTAATACACATAGGGCTCGCATAATCCGGGTCCGGCCCAAACCAGGCCAACAAAGCCCTAGCCCCTTATTAGGGTCCGGCCAGGTTATATATGTATGAAAAAACCAAGGCTAGGCCGGGCAAAACCAGACCGGCCCTACCCTCGAGTTGAAGTTGCCTAGCCATAGCCCAGCTCTCGGGCCACATTTTTTAGCCCTAACATTGGGAAATGGATTCTAGAATATCCCTAGAAAAGTGAGAAAGGGGTAGGAGCCTAATTTGCGCAAGACCTAAATGATTTTGTAGTAGGCCACCCATCCTTCTATTATTGAAAGAGTCCAAGTGCGCGCTTTGTAAATTCATGAATAAGGAGGGGGTACTTTTGTGAACATGCGTGTTTATTGTCTTTAGGGGTTCTTAGCATGAAATTTGCCTTTATTAAAGAATAAATGTGGATAAGGTTAAAATAATGAAGGCAAAACCAAGGGTAGGTCACACGTGACTCACGCATTGACCAAACTAACTAGAATTAATTGAACCCTTATTTCAAAAGGAAAATTGTTTACATTTGCTGTTCTCCGAAGTATAAAGCATAGATGCAAACAGGTGATCCATCCAAAAATAATTGGAACTAATGGGTCTAAATATTTTTTTAATAGAACTATTATTTTTAATTTTTAAAATTTATTTATTTATTCATATTCATAAACTCCATTTTATAGATTGCATATCCTTAAAAAGTATCAAAAATAGATTTTTAAGCGGTGACACATTTCTACATGGAAGCTGTGTCCATTTTAAAATCATTAAAATGGGTTTCCTTCCTTTTTACTTAAAATTTCGGTTGAAAATTTTGGATAACCTGGTTGAAATTTTTGAACTCCATGAATCATGATCTCGAAGGGCCGGGTTGATATTTAATCTTATCAGGAGTAGAATATTTTAATTGAATTAATATATTCTACATATTGTTATTTTGTTAGATTATTTCATTATATTTAATAATATATATATATAGTCGTGGGTAGGCAAGGCACACAGGGGGATAGG